CATACTGTTCATTGGCTGCAGCAAAGCCTGTCATGAGAGCATGTAGTAGCAACTGTATTTTGATTTCTGATGCTAAACTGATTTTTAAAGGTATTGTAGTTCACTGCTACTTGGTGCCAGCTCAGAATCTCTGGAGTGCCAAAGGTTCACCACTGCTCCATCAAGGAGATGTGTGCCTCTTGCCCCATCCTGTGATCAGAGGTGTCTGCAAAAAGAAGATGCCTGCAGTTTGGTTTTGTGATTTGTGTATGACTTGCCATGAGTAGGAACTGGGGCTGTGAGGAAGGAACAACAGCAATGTCTCTGGGCAAAATTAATTGTTCTCTTTGGCTGGATCTGGCTTACGGGCAAGACGTTTCTCAGGCCTGGGATTGAAGGCGTGTTAGTGTAAAAAAATGTTGAGCTAAGCTAGTTAAGTGTAGATGACTGTCTTGGATGGCAGATGTTTCTGTTTGACGCTTCCTGCAGCTTTGTCCTTCCAAGAAAAGGAGTAGTCTTCCCTTTGTCACAGTTCGATGTACCCAAAACTTGGTTGTTTGTAAACCAGGCAGTCTAATTTTTCTCAGCTGTGATGATTTGAATGGCCAGTGATGATGCCGAGTGGCCAGTTTTACCACTGGTGGTAGCTTTGGGAGACAACCACAATATTCATGAGGACTGTAGCATGTTTTGATGGTGATTGCACAGGAGAACTGAGTTTCAAACTAATTTTGTCTGTGGTAAGTCTTTATTGTGATGATCTCGGTTGTGCTATAAGTAAACATGGCAATTACTTTGAAGAATGGTTTCGTGACGTGCTTTGTGGAATTGCCAAGACCTTGTGATGCCCGTTGTTCAAAGTGTTAATTTCAGATAGACCGATACGGTATTTTTGCTTGGTATTTTGAGGAATCTTAATTTTAATGACACGTTCTGTACATAGATTTTTTTCTTATGTGTATCTCCAAATGGTAACATCAAAAGAGTCATGAGCACCTAGTTAAGCTAAAAATAAGTGCTTGCAACGCTTTCACCTTCCCTCTTGTGCTATGCTCTTAATTTTGTTTCTGTTGCATATTGGGGTAGGAGTTGGAAAAAAACAGTGAATCCTTTAAATAAGAAGAGTTAGGTGGGGCTTGAATGCCCACACTGTGGATCCCTACCATAAGTATTGGGTGGTTTTTAATGTTTGGGTTTAAAAAAAAAAAAAAAAAGTTTTAATTGTCCAATGGTTATTAACTTGTATTCATCAAACAATGACTTGTTCTAGTTCAGGCTGAAAATGGCAAGCACTGTCTCTTAAATGACTTCAGATTAAAACTTCATTTTCTGGGATTTTGTTCAGTTATAGACAAGCATCAAAAAATCTCAATATCAGACTCGGAGATCTGTGCTCACTTGGAGATACGCTGTTTTCTAGATCCTAATTCCTGCTAAAAAAATCCCCATTACTTTCTAGGCTTAGCTTGTAAGGAATCACAGCTTTGGAAGGACTTTGTTTGGATAATGCCTTGCTTTCATCCCCCACCACTTATCTCATTTCTGGTTGGAATTTAGTACATGTTTTCATTCAAACTTCTAAATTAAAAGGTGCTCTGATATCTCCTTTTAAACTTCTTAAATTTCAAGGTATTATTGAATGTTGATAGGTTTAAAGAGAGATGTGGCTAAAATTGTCTGAACTGCATGTGTTTTCTTTTAATTCATATTTACACAGTATGTACATTTTTATATATTTACTTTTAAGCAAAACAGCGAAATTATGTGGGAAGAGGTCTGCTTTTGGTTTTAACGTCTACTACATTATTTTCTTCCATACATATAAAAGACCTCAGTAGACGAGAGCATCTTTATGGAATTAGTAACCAGAAAAAAAGATTTTCAGCCTCTGTCCTCAGGGGTGGGGAAAATATGAAATTCTTCATACCTTTGAAAATAAATTATTAGCAGGTTGGCCTTTGCAGGATATATATTCGGTTTCCTGAAATATTCACATGATGTAATTTTGATAACACGTGTGTTCATAGTTACCACTTTGCTGTGACAGCAGCTGCTTGCACTGGCTCGCTAGGACTGTGCTAGAAGCACTTGTTGCTATAATAATGTTGGTTACAGTCAAAGGTTTTTTTGAATTAAATTTATACTTGCAAGAAACCTGTCTTGGAGATGGTTGCTGAAGAAATGCTTTTGTGTGTTTAATTTGGGAACGAATAAACTATGCGAACAGCATAATTTTAACGGTACTGTTCATCTGAAGGCCTTTTGTTATGGCTGCACTGATATTTTTTTTTGGCCTGGGCTAGGATGAGTAGTGTGAAGTGCACAGTCGTAAGAGTCAGCAAAGCTGGAGCTGGGGTGCGCTGAGCAGTCGTGCACCCCACACGCTCTGCCTTGTAGAGAGCTCTGCGATGATCCCGAGGTTACTGGGGCAATGGCAGCACTCCTGCGCCCAGCACCTCTGCGAGTCAGAGGAAAGCGATCGCAGTCCTCTGAGCAAAAGGGCACAAAATACGTAGTGTGCAAAAACCAGCAAGATTCTTGGGGCACGTTAATGAAGTAAGAAATGAGAATGAAGGGTGAATGCTGATCTTGAGACGCTTCTTGAGTGAGATGTTAATGTTAATTGAGTGAGAAGTTAATGTCAGTTGTCGTACAGCTACAGGTGTGAATCTGGTGATTCGTTCAACTCCAAATTTTAACACATTCGAGACAATGCCATGTAGAACTTTGAATTTCGTAGTTTGAGAGGAAACATCATTTACCGGATTTTATTCAAAGGGATGTTTTGCTGAAATATACTAGAAGAGTTTCAAGATTGAATGCCATCTTCTTGCTTACTTTGTGACATATAAATAGGAAATTGTGCATTTTGGTACATATTTAAACAGAAGTTCCCTTACAATGTAAATTGGATTCTTTAGAGAAGCTACGGTGGTGCCAGTAACTCCAGTGAAGGAATTTTTACTGTGTTTTTAGCACTTTGCAGCCACTGACCACATGAATATATTGTGGTGGTCTTAATCCTTCTATCACTGATTTTAAAAAGCTTAGGAGTGTTGTAGCTACCTGCTTCAAAAGGTGATCAAAAAATAGGAAAATGTGATGTTGCTAGTATTTTATTTTCCGTATATGAAAAAACTGGTCAAGTTTTCTGAAGTTGCTGCTGACAGCTTTAGGAGCATTTCTTCATCTTGTCAAGATAATTTCTGTAAGCATTAACCACATTATGCACTTTCCATTTGTATATTAAAACTAACATTTTAAAAAGATTTGAGTACTGCTCTAATTTTTGCCATTGGGCGTAAGTTGTCCTCATTTGTGTATTATGGCAGTACTTGTACTGCCCATCAAATTTTAGGAATCTGATTTAGATTTATTTAAATTAATTATCGGTATCTAATCTAGATTTATGCAGCCTGCAAGAAAAACCTTTTATTGAGGCCACACAAAAAAAAACCCCAAATAAACAGTAGATCCTGAAGAGAGGGAAGCAAAACTCCAAATTCAGGTGCTTAGAGGTTGTATCCTAATGCCTTCCCAACTTTTTTGTCATTCATATCCCCAGTGAGTTTCTGTTTTGTTTTGGTTTGTGTTTTTTTTTTTTTTAACTATTTATATTTCCCTATTAAGCAACAGGAATAAAGAATTCAATTGGTAAATATGAATGATGGTCTTAACAGGACCTCCTTAAGAGGAGACGTTAGGCCTTTTTGGAAAATGTGTTTGCATATATGGATAAACACAGACGAGGTGATTAACATCATTAACACGTGCATATTGGCATGTATGTCAGGCTTCCAGTCTGCTAGCTTTGTTACTACTTTTGGAAAAACAGTGAAAAGAGCTGTTGAAATTTTGTAGGTTCAAAGCTTTGAAACTAGGTTTATGTAGGAAGAGAGGAAGCATTTTATAGTAACTCTTTTTCCTGAAGTGCCGTGGTTTTTAAAGCAACTTGTTAGTATCTTATTAGAAGGACTATTTATTCCCTTGACTGTCTTTTAGTGAGCAATACAAATACTTGAGGAACAGATTAACAGTTCTTTGGAAGTGGTAATGCTGAGCAGAATGTATTTTTAAAGTTTTTTTTTTTTTTAAGTAATAACCTTTTAATGCTGTTTTGGAGGTTTCCATTCAGAATTTCTGCTAATTCTTGCATTCATTTATTTGAAAAATTATATTTTTGTCAAGAGCTTCCCGACTAAAACTTCCTCCTACTTAAAAACCAAAACCAAACCCAATTATTTCTGGCAAACTGCTTTTCCTGTAAAGGACACACACCCTGACCTTTATACAGCAGGTTGGAGCGTTTCTGAAAGTCACTCTGGTTCTGCCTGGTATATCAGCACAGCTCTGTAAACACGGTTATTCCCTGCAATTTCTCTTTGTTACTTTGAGGCTGTAATATTTTATAGGTTGTTTTTTCAAGCATTGAAAAATGTTAAGATGAAATTGTATGCTGTTTAAAAAGAAAAAAACAAACAACAACAACCCAGGATGTTACTCCTTTGTCAGACAAAAGCAATATAATTTTGTTAGCAGTCCCAATTTTGTTTTTAGAGTATTGGCAAGATGAAGCATCAGTCTTCTTGGCAGCTGTAGGGTGTTCCCCCTCTGTATGAGAACCTTTAAGTGACATTGAATCCCATTTGTTTACCGGCGAACCAGAGCAGTATTTGGCTCACACAGGGTATGGTGAGCAACATGCATCCTGCCCGGGCTGCAAACAATCGGCAGCAACAGGAAACTGCTTTGCACCAGCTTTGAAGGATGACAGAGCTTGTTTGAAAGCCGAGTGTAAAGCAATCTAGCTGAGGAATTGTCTCAGCTAGGGCTTGCACATCTGGGAAGCAGGTCTGTGTTTCATAACGTCCTTGCCAAACTGGTAGGAGCTGGGTGTGTCTAGATCTAAGTTTGTCTCTTGAGAAGCCAAGCTTTTATTTTGCAAGTGACATGCATTATTTTTAAAAGTCTTCAATCTGTTTGGTTGTTTGGTGGTTTTGGTTTGTTTTTTTTTTTTTTAGGAGGCCCAAACATATGGGCCATCACCTCTGAAGAGCGGGCCAAGCATGACAAGCAGTTTGATAGCCTTAAACCCACGGGAGGCTACATTACAGGTTGGTCTGAGATTCTGCATTACACATTAACTTCCATGTACACATAAGTATCTTTGTAAAACAGTTTGAAAACTACATCCTATTTCTAGCCCTTTGTTGTGTGACTAACAACCATACTCTTTGGGCAAACAGCTACGGGTTATTACTAAACTTCTACAAGCTTTGGGTAAAGCCTGGCACAGGAACGCTCTTTCATTAACCCTCTCGCTTCTGTAGCTGGTGGTTATGTGCTGCCATTCTGTCTGGTTTCAAAAACCAAAGAGTGTCAGGCGAAATCTGTGCTTAGATGGGAGGCTGCCAAGGAGCACTTACAGTAGCTATTGTGGCAAGTGACGCCAGAGACACCAGAAGTGGCTCTCCTCTGTCTGAACAGTGTTAGAGAATACTGTGCTGTTAGATATCTTTGTTTTGGGGGAGGAGGCGGGGAGAGAGATGCTGACAGCTGTCCTTGTTAATGAGTGCTTGAAACTTATTAACCCTTGGCCTTCAGCAGGTTCTGGATCGGCTAATGGCATTTTGCAATGGCCTGCTGTCAGCTCCAGTTGCATTCAGCTGCTTCCCCTCTGAAACAATTGGGTCATGTTGCTGCGCACCTCAGAATTTGCAGTTTTAAAATTTAAGAGTCTGCTTGTGACATCAAGAAAAGGTTCAATTTCACTGGCAAAGATGACTTAATTTAAGAATGCCCCGTTCTTTGTGTGCGGGTGGGCACTACAGGCCAGCCCTGATCACTCCTACCCTGCTATTTGCCTGCTAGTGTCCTATCTGGTGACTCCATTGTCCCTGCTTTTCCTCATTTTGGTCCCAAAAAGACTGAGGAAAGAGCGGGAAGTTGTCTCTTTGGAACATGTACATCTTCTGGCTAAGTGATACCTAACTCCTGCTTTGGCCAAACAGCTCTGGGAGGTTGGTGTTCACTTTACCACCAGCTGAAAAGTATGCAGTCCGAGGGACTACCTTTAGGCCACATCTCGGCTCTTACCTGCACGTACATCTGCGGGCTTCATTATTTATTTGGCAAGTGCTTGAAATGAAAGGCTATGTATGAATATAAGGGAAGAAAGTGCTGAAAGAATAACCTGAAGTCTTAGTTTTCAGCATCTGTAATTCACTCATAGGTAAGCATAAACACCGTGTTTTATTACAAGTTTGTTTAACAGCTCAATCAGTACTAATTGATGTGGAACTTGGTATGGAATTGCACAACAGTTCCCATTCCCTTCCTGAAATACTGAGATAGTGGATGTTCCCTGACGGAACAGACTATTATTTAGAACACAGTATTTTTCCAATTTTTCTAGAGAGGCAGTACTGGCTAAAGTTAGATTGGATGAAGGAGAAGGAAAGAAATAGCACGCACGTCCTTTTCTGTAAAAGTAATTGGGTCAGGACTAAATTTTCAGTCATTTTTACTTCTTTAAATCTTGCATCTATTAAACTGTTGGCAGCTGTTGATTTGTGACCTGTTAAAGCTTTTTATAGCTATTTGAAATCACTTCTCAGAGCAAAGATTCAGGATTATAGAATACATGGGTACCTGACAATCGGTGTCACTGGGGAAGGAGTTAGGTGGTACGAAACTGGAAGGCTTGGCATCTAGCATGCTGGTTCCTTTAGAAAATCTGTCCCACAACAGAGTGCTGAGGTCTTCCGAAAATCTATGTCCGTAGTGTAAAAGTCTGTCTGTCTGTCTTGTTTATCACAGGTGATCAAGCACGTACCTTTTTTCTGCAGTCAGGTCTACCAGCTTCAATCCTTGCTGAAATATGGTAAGGTATTCTTTACTATTTTTTTTAAGATAGGAGATGCATGGCATTCAAATACTATCTTTGGTATGTTGTGTTGTCTCAAAGAGGCTTTCAGCAGTCAAAGTAGGAGTGTTGTCTGAATAATTGTTTTAATTTTATTAAATTTAGAGGAAGGATTGAGCCCATATGTGTACCAACACTTAATTAAAAAGCAATATCTTTTAAAATCTTTCTTATGATGTTAATTCAAATTAGATTATATTGAACACAGCCTTTTTAAACTGTAGTAAGTGCTTGAAACAAAAAGCGATGATAAATTGCAAGGCTTTGATAGAGGGAAATGCCTGTTGGACTGCCACAGAGGTCATTGTTAAGCCTTGTCTTTATGTTTTAAATAATAATATGGAAAAAGAGGTAAATAATGGGTTAATGAATTCCTGGAGATACCAAATTGAACGATGTTTGACATACTAGTAACCACTAAAAAATGGCAATAAGATTAATTGTGGGGAAAATTATATGCTACTAAACTGGGAGTGGAAAATACACTGAAAGTAGAAGACAGGAAAAAATCTAAAGCCACAGAAAATGTTAGTAGAAGGTCAGTTATAATACACTGTAAGATACCAATCAATGCTGTAATACAGGAACTGGAAGAAGTGCTGTTCTTTGCAGCATATATGTGGTGGTTGCAACACTTGAAACAGACACTTTCTTCTTTGTAACTTCTCAGTCTTCACTAGAATACTGTGTTCATTTCATGGTACTTGGTTGTTATCAAGATGTACACATGCTAAAAGACACGGAGTGGAGGCTCGTAATAATTAAGAACTACTCACTTGTGAAAGAATATTAAAGAAACTAACTAAATGCAATGTTAGCTGCTTCTTCAGACACTTAAAGTGCCTAGAAAAGAGTGGTAAGGAAATTTCTGCATAGGGCCTTGGGGTTTTATACTGAATAGTAACAGAATGAAAGGGAAAATGTAGCTTAATATTAAGTCTGGGGTTTTTTTTCCTCCTAATTTTATTTACATTCCTGTGCCTGGTCCTCACATGTTCAAGTATTATAAGATTTCATATTTTCTGTCTGACCAGAAATGTTGTCTGTTTATGTATGCACTGTTGCATATATTTCCTGTTGTATTTATTTGGAAAAGTGTCAAAGGAAGATGGTGTGGATATCAGGCTTTAAAAACCCACTATTTGTGAATTAATGCCATTTTCATAGTGGTATATAGTGCCTTTAGCAGGTTTCTGCATCCTCCTGTTTCAGATTCTTGCATTAATTACTTACATTACCAGACATTAATTTAAAATAATTAGTCTGGCTAGTAGCATAGAAAGAAGCATAGCAGAGGCGTATCTGTAGCAACAAGTATATCTGCTGAGCAGGAGACTACTGCTTTTCCGAGTGTCTTCCTGCTTTCTCAGGTGTTAAGTATTTAATATACAGCAACTTTAAAACTGAACTCTGCAGAAGACTACCAAGTGAATTATACTTAATACAGCTAGATGAACATTATGTTTGGATGTGCAGGTTGACCTTCAATACCCGTAGGTTGGCAAACTAGAAAAATTAAGATTTGCAAACTTCTCAGGGTTTGAATGTTGTAAAAAAATCCACAAAGGGTTGCAATAAGTTTGTTGTTTTCTTGTATAAAAGCAGTAAATAAATGATAGAAAAGCTTCTCATTAAGTGAAAAAGTTAACTTTACATTTCTTCTTTGTGGGCTTTTTTCATTTAGTTTTATTTTATATTTAAGGACACTATCAGACCTGAACAAGGATGGAAAAATGGATCAACAGGAGTTCTCTATAGCCATGAAACTCATCAAGCTGAAATTGCAAGGACAGCATTTGCCTGCGGTTCTCCCTCCTGTCATGAAACAAACTCCAGTATTTTCACCGCTAATGTCAGCTCGCTTTGGTACTTATGAATATATAATTACTTAGTGTTCAGAGGTAAAAAAACACAGTTAATTGCAGCCAAATACAAGCATTAATCTGACCGCGACAGTTGAGTGAATCAGTAAAAAAACCCAAAGATATTCTGATTTAGGAAATTCATAAAGTCACTTTATTGACATTTTTGATAATTTCATTCTTTGAAGACATTTAATCAACAGAAGGTTTTCCTTTATTCATTTTGACATGAGTTGCAAAAATGCCGTTCACATTTGCCATCTGACTTGCAGGCTGTCATCTTGTACTGAAGGTCTTTTTTTTGTCTCCCTCCTACTCATTCACCTATTTACACTCGGGGTTTTTAAAGTTAAACTTAGTAAAGGTCAAAGTTTTGGTAGAATACTTATTTCAAATATTTTTTCAAAATCAATTGGATTGTCTATTTTGGTTATATGATCAATTGAATATAATTATTTTAACTTTTTTTTTTTCCTTTTCTGACGGTGTTTTGGGATTCAGTGCATGCCTGTTGTTAATTTGTTGTTTTGCAGAACAAAATATACGTAGTATCTTCAGCTGGATTACAAAATTAGTGCATATGCTGAAATTAAATGTATGTATATATTAATTACATACATGATTTAAAATATCTGCCCATTGGTAAATCTTGTGTGTTTGTATACAAGTGCATGCATTTATAGATAGCTGTGGTTGGCATACAATTACTTCCTATTAACCTTCCATCATAGCATCTGCATACTGTTGTCTTCCACAAGATTCAGCCAGTAATTCAAGTGCCCTTATTCGCTTCAGGCAAATGCCTTAAACGAACCATTTGCTAGGCATGGGTCCCTAAGCATGGACTTTTCACCCGTACGGATTCTTCCAAGGCTGATGCTTGGAAGAGACTTAGTTCAGAAACAGTATCAGCTTTTCCCTGTAGAGGATTGTCAAAACTTTTGAGTTGCATTGTAATTCTCTCTCGGGGGCCAGACGTGGAAAGGCTTGTTGAAGAACTAGTTATAGCTGCAATTATAGAAAACTAGATCTTGTTCCTTTGTGAAATACTAGCTAAACCTACCTTGAGAATTAATTGCTTGTAAGGATTTTTTTTTTTTTTTTTTTAAATTCATGTTCTTCGGTATATTCTCTTCTGTGAGGTGTCTTGTCTAAACTTTAGAGAAAAAGTAAATATTATACACAAGCATCTATTTTAGCTCATTGTACCTCTGGATGCAGGTTGCTTTGTGTAGTTTCTGCCTAGCATAATGGAGCCAATTTCTTGCTGGAGCCTCTGCAGTATTAAATCACGAATTGTTGGATTTTGCTCTAGGGATGGGTAGTATGCCAAATCTGTCCATGCCAACGTCTATGTCTACGATCACACCATTAGCTCCCATGTCTCTGACCTCCGTGACTTCCATCCCTCCTTTGGTTATCGCTGCTCCCCTGGTGCCTTCTGTCAGTACCTCCTCATTGCCAAATGGAACATCCAGCCTTCTGCAGCCTTTGTCCGTACCTTTCTCTTCAAGTAAGTATAGTACAGTCCAGTACTCGCTTTCGGAATTGTGAATCTTATTTTCTCTGTGGCTAATTTCAGACAGGAATGCTAATACTTGCATGTGAGTTAAAAAAAAAAAAAAAAATTGTATTTTTTCCAAAGTTCACATTTGTCAAATCGGTTCTAACTAGTTAATCTTAACAACAAGGCACTGATTAGCTTTTCTTACTTCTGTCAAAGCCTTGAGTGTTTATTACAAATCATTGCCTTATATCCAGTTGCAATACGGTTTTTGGGTTTGTTTTGTTTGTCTGTTTGTTTGTTTGTTTGTTTCAGCGCTGCCTCATACTGGTTCTATAGGTCCCATGGCAGGAGGGTTTGGTGGTGCTAGTATACAGAAGGCACAGTCACTAATCGATTTAGGATCTAGCAGGTATGAATGTTAAGTTTAAAATGGTTATATCTTAAACTTGAGTAGTATGCCTTCCAAAACTTACAGAGCATTTCTATTTTCAGAGTATATTAATTAAAAATTAGTCTATCATATTAGACCTACCAAGTCTGAAAATGGATTGTTTTGATATGCACAATAAATAATATTTTCAGTAAATCTGACAAAACTATCCAAAGCAGGTGAGAAGTTCAAATGAGATAAAGCTATGCTAAAAAGAAGGGAATGTACCTCATTAGTAAATAAAAGTAAAACTTAACAAGTGGTTATAAAAGCAATGTTTATGGATTGATGTGCTCATTCATTATAGAGGGCACCATGTAATTAGCAGGCATGTAAGAATAGTATTTGTTATAAATATTTATTTGTGAATTTGTTTTGTGAATAATAGAAGATCATGAATCTTTGTCATCAGCTGCCCTATTTCACTGATTTTTAGAGCTTTGCCATACACAGTGAGGGACTAGGCTTATCTGTCCAATTGGGCACCCAGGGAACAGTGTCCCAAAAGACAGTCCAGAGGGCATCTCCGCCCCAGCTCAGTTTCAGAAGGTGACTCAGAAGTGCTTGCACCTCTGCTGCCGATGCAAGGCATCTAGGATGAACGCATGTCTAACTTTGGGCTCCTCATACAGACAGACACCTGATGCTAGCAGATGTTCAATAAGATGATTGTAGGCATGGGGTGTGCCCGTAATCATCTTTTTTTGGTTTTGGGGGATTTTTTTTAGTCAGAAAGCTTTCTTTTGCTGGTGGTGTAGCGTTGCAGAGTAGCTCTTCTTCGGTATTACTGTTGACAGCTTTTTCACCATCACGTTCTCTAATTCCATGCAAAGAATGTCTATCCAGCATCGTGCCCAGAAGGCTTTGTTTATACCAGCATTCTTTACTTTATTGCCTTGGATAACACTGCAAATAGTTTTTTACTTGACAGAGTAGGGGATTACCTTAAACAAGGCAGGCTGGATGCACCTGGTTTTGTCTGATCTTCAAAGATGGGACACTGTGAAAATGCTGGGAGTTGCATGTAGAAGTTTTATAGGTATAACTAAACACTCCATCAGTGCTATTCTGCAGAAACCGAATGAGTTGGAAAAACTCCATTCAGCCTGTCGTTGTCACTAATAGAAAGAGGTGGAGGTGGAATATAGTGGCTTTAGAAGCTGCTTTTGGTTGTGAGTTTATCAGATAAATTTTTATGCTCGTGGTTATTCATTTGCATACCTCTTAAAGTTACTTAGACATCTGCCCAGTGCTTCACAGCCCTTGTAAACATTCTTGTGAAAGTTGAGATGTTTTCCTATGGTTTCCTATAGTATTATTTTGCAGTGGTGGACCAATGAATTGTGTGACATACATGCCTGTGATACCAAGGGAACAGGATCTTGAATTCAAGAGTTTTCTTTTAGATACGTGTCCCTAATTTCACAGTAAAATTCCGTATTAGTGAATAAAATATTTAGAGCAAGTTAGCAGAGGTAAAACTTTGTGGAAGTTGTTTTATGTTACCAGAAGATGCTATATACCTTCTGTTCCAATGCCTGTTTATTAAGCCAAGTAACCTAGAGTTCTTTCTTTATCTCTTTTTTCTTTTTTTTTTCTTTTTTTCAAATTGTATTACAGTTCAAATTCTTCCTCTAGTGCTTCACTAGCTGGGAACTCACCAAAGATTGCATCCTCAGACTGGGCAGTTCCTCAGGCCTCCAGATTAAAATACAGACAGAAATTTAACAGTCTTGATAAAAGTATGAGTGGATATTTATCAGGTGAGTATGGCATTTGATATGGAAGGGGGAAAACCAGCAGTGTTTTCTGTCTCTGGAACATCGCATGCTGAGGGATGGAATCCCAGCTTGGGATTTGACTTCTATATGAAATAAAAGCTGAAATTGTTGACATTCAGACCTATGCAGGAGAGAGAGTGGGTTTCAGCTACTGGTTCCAGTCAGCCAAGAAATGGAAATGGGTATCCGTTTATTGGCTTGGGCTCTGCATTAGACCTGGAGGGACCTCAGGAGGCAGCAGTCTCCCCAGGTAGACTGGGGAAGCTACAGCAGCAGTTGAGAGGAACCAGAGAAGAGTGGCAGTGGTGAGATCTAACTAGAAGAGCCTGAGAACCGTAAGGCTGCGGAAGTCAGCTCCATGAAGTCAGCAGTCACTTTTCAAGCATCACTCTTTGGACTGAGACTCTTTCTTATGAGTTTGTAAAATGGGGGACCTCTCACGATCATTTTTGTGCCATGTGCTCCTATGTATACATATTAATAATTGCTTAGATATTTGGGCTTTATCTTTTCAAAGAAAGCAGTTCAGGAAAGACACTGCAGCCATTGATTGGAATTTTTCAAAAGTAATTGAAGGGAGTCATTCCTTCTTGACTTTCAGTGACATTTGTGCTGTGCCACTGCATTATGGTGGTTTCGAAAGACTTCACACAAAGTTTAATACAAGAGTAGAGTTTTATGAGAGTTCTTATAAAACTGGATTACTCACTGTTCTGCAGTGAGTAGAGCGCTGGCCGAGCAATTAGTAGATGTAAAGTCAATATGTATGTCTGTAGCTTACTAGATTTCCCATTTTGAATAAGCCCTTACCAAGCCTTTGCCTCGGTTTCCTAGCCTACAAAAAAGGAGGACAATTCTCTCTTTCAAGAAAGGGATTCAGTGCTTTTTATCTTCTTCAGTTGATTTTGGGCTGAGGGTTTCATCGACCCGCCTAGAAAGGTATATAGTTCTTTGCTATCAAAGGAAAGCTGACAGCTTTCCAGTGTGCTAGCTCAAGCCTTAGGTAGACAGTCAGCTGTGCTTTTGTAACAGCTGTGGGGATTACCATAAATACCCATTTTTCATGGCAGTTTTTCTGTTAGGTCCTCTGAGTGAAAAGTACACAAGAATATTTACATCTTTATTGTGTTCAGGTTGTAATGCCTGTTGTTAAGCCTGGAATTAATGCCAACTGTCAGCCACTGATGAAAATGGATTAGATTAATATTAAAAATAAACATGCCCCAGTTCATGACCCATTTTTTTGCTACATGTGAATCTTTGTTCAAAGTATTTATTTTTATTAAAATCTTTTACGCTTTCGCTAAGGATTTCAAGCAAGGAATGCCCTTCTGCAATCAAACCTTTCACAGACTCAGTTGGCTACTATTTGGTAAGTTTAGATTATGAATTCAGCGTGTTTATGGTGTTAAGAGAGGAAATGTATTTTATTTAATAAGAAATGATGAAGGGACACCATAGATCTAAAATCATAAACTGAAACTAAGCTACTTCTTAAACTAGTTTGTTCATCAGCACATTTTCAAAAGACACCGTGACATAATATAATTAATTTTTTCGCTCTTTGTGTTTGTTTGTTAAACTCCATATAGTAATACAGATATTAATTTCAATTTCTGATTCAGTGATGCACTAGTTTAGCTGAGATGAGGGTTTGTTCATTTTAAAAGTAGGATTCTGAAATCAAGCTCTTGTTAGTTTTAAAATATGGAGAAAGATTAAAAATGGACTAACACTTCAGATTTTTAGTTTTACTGTGGTTCCCATAAAGATATCTGCATATTACACATTTGTTAAGGCTTGCCTTTACTGTGGTGATGGAAATGGTTACAGTTGTCTGAAGGCTTGAATAGTCTGCCTTTACCCTGCTAGATATGGTAGTTTGGATTATGCCTTCAGGCATAACTCCGATGTTATACGTAAAATTTACTGGCCCAGCAGAATTCACAATAGCTTGGTGCTTTACATCTCCTTCTGAGTTCCCTTTCTTCCTCTTTATCCCAGGGCAGTTATTTGTTTGTCTCTAGCAGCAGCGAGCTGAAATATTCCTTATATTCGTTCAGCTTATTTGGTTGCATGCTGTGAAGGTAAAAATGGAGTGTCAGGTTGTATTCCTTCACTCTGGAGTATGGGGACAAAAAGCAGGTATATAGTCACCAGCAGTTTTCCTCCTGGGTGCCTAGGCTGCAGACATCAGTAGCCAATGTGAGGAGGTCTGTGTACCCATGTAGAGGATTAACAACCCAAGTTTCAGTTTTGCCCGAAGTAAGGAGTTATGAATATTTCTACCAGGGTACCGTAGAAATTACGGTAATTTCTGTAATAATGGTACTGTTATGTGTGAATAGTGCTGGTCTGTCAACATAATAAAAATCTCATTTCATCATCTCCTGCTTTTGTTTTTCACTGCAGTGTGTGTGTGGGTAATGTCTTTTTGTGTGTTTTGGTGTTTCCTTTTTGTTTTTAGTGGGTTTTTTTAATCTGCTTTTTTTTTTTGAAGAGCAGTTATTTTATTAAGCATTTTACTTAAGTGCAGTCTAAGGACACATTCCTGCAATTGTATCTGCACAGATAGTTCTTTTAGAAAGGTTCCTGCTTTCTTGCCTGCATCTCTGGAAACATTTCACTGGTTTCCCACGCCCTCCCCCCCCCCATTGTGTGGAAAGCATTTTGTAGGCTAATGATCATAGAATCATAGAATAGTTTGGGTTGGAAGGGACCTCTGAAGGTCATCTAGTCCAACCCCCCTGCCGTGGGCAGGGACATCTTCAACTAGATCGGGTTGCTCAGAGCCCCGTCCAACCTGACCT